CTGCCCAACATCGTGAAACACGATCCAGCATTTGTAATGGCCTACATGGTTACGAGCGAAAATATACACCTTATACAACATTTTTTTGGGAGGGGGGGGGAGGGGTGGCATTTTTATCTACCTTCATGAATTATTTAAAAAGGTGAGGCGATATCATTATATATTATAAATATACATTATTATTATATTATTATTAGTTGTTATAGACATCTATGGGCGATATATAGGCCTAGTAGCCTACCAAGTTATCAAAATTGTCTTATCATGGACTGTCAACACGACACTCTATGTCGGCTGCACTTTTGAAAGCAATTTCATTATTGAAGACAGTCACATGACATGTTTACAACTGCTTTGTTAAAGATTGATTACTGATTTGAATATTGCAAACATTTATTGGGAAACGGGCCGTTGGGGGTCTCAAAGGGGCCCCAAAATTCAAGGGGAGGGGGTTCAAAATATCTTGCTGAAGACTGAAAATTAAATGCGGCGTAAAAATAGATCTTAAAGTTCTGACAATTTTATCTTAAAATCGACAGAATGGAAAAAGAATATAAATACTGTTTAATAATAAACTGTATAAAAATTTAACCATATGAAAATCTAACTTTATGCAGGTTGTTGTCAACAAGGAATGTTTTTTGAATGATCAGGTAAAAAGAAGGAAAGTTTTTATCACACGTTTTTTCTAATTATACCGATGGCATTGATTTTAAACTGAATGTCTTTTTCTTTACCTTCCTGTTTGACAACATTTAATCACAATAAGATTTAGTTTTTTTGGGGTGTTAGTTTATCTGTGTGTTAGTTTGTTATTAGCAATCGACAGGGTAAATATTAATCCTTATTTTATCTAAAAGATGATACGGTATCCGAACCATAATTGGGAATGAAGTATATCCATAGTAAAGTTTCCTGTCTTAAGAAGAAAAGTTTATACGTTCTCAGTAGAATAGGCTAATTTGAAAAATACTCTAATTTGTATCTTGGGAAGGAAGCTAAATTATTTTCAATAAAAAGGTGTGTTTTCAGACAAAAAAAAATCTCGCCGGTAAAATGTCAGGAAATTCTGTTTCGGGATGTCTAATTCTCAAATTTTTTCTAGGGGAGGTCCTTACGTAGGCATTCTTATTAAAATAAGATCGAACTTTAGTTTCGTTTTTTACTACCTCTTTAAATAGTCACTTCAATTAGGGTCTAAAGATGGGCCTCTTGAAGATTCGTCACAATAACCTCTATATAGACCTAACCTGATGACCTCTGTTTTGTAGGTATTAGAGACCCGTACCGACTTTCTGAAGCACCGGGCGTGGCATCAATTTTTTTTTACCTTGAGAAGGATTCGAACCCACGGCCCCTAATCATTTAGTGTGCGACTGAGCTATTCCAATGTAAATAAGTTTATGGTATAACAAAATAATTATTAAATAGTCACTTCAGTTAGTGCCTAAAGATGGGCCTCTTGAATATTCGTCACAATAACCTCTAGACCTTATCTAATGACCTCTGTTTTGTAGGTATTAGAGACAAAATAAACAAAATAATTATTATCCTAATAAATTCATAATTCTATTTAGGATGATGCTCTTGTTGATATTTGTGTCCCTGATAAATCTTTTCGTTAGTCCTGTTTATGGTATGTATACAATATAATATATCCACAATGCACTGGAAAAATGTCTACAAGCACTATACGAAAACTGTGAAAACTGAATTGAAGAAACCTTAATTTCCACAGGTAGAACATACACGATGACAGAACAACCCTTGTAACATGTATACAACAGTAAATCGGAATGACCACCAACGTAAGAAGGAAAACAACTCAGATGGTCATTACAATAGCTCAGAAAGGACAAGGTTAAAGGTTAGGATTAATTTAATTTTAGGACTGATCAACATTACAAGTCAGCCAGCTAAAGTAGCTAACGGAGAACCTGTAAAATTGATCTGTAATGTTGGAACTATGAAAGACGCTGTTAAATGGGATTATGAGGGAGTAACATATTTTTCATGTGACCCTCCGTATTCTAACTGTTTCACCAACACCAGTAGTACAAAAGATGATATCTTAGACTTTTCTATCAAAGACGATTCACTTATTGTGTTATTATTTGTCAATGAGAACCAAAACGATAGAATCTGGTCTTGTTTCCATGGAAACGAAAAAGCTGAATTTGAAACTGATAATGGAGGTAAAACTTACAGATATTACAAATTTTCAACTTGAAAAATCGTAAAATATCTGACCATGTCTTTGTATTATGTACATAATACCGACAGAGGATTGAAGTTACAGTAATGTTTCTGGAAATTATTTAATTTAGTAATGCATCTTCCCAAACTAGCCAGTTGAAACTGAACACAAACAGATTGTGGATTTCATCGGCGTGATTCGCAAAAATGGCAATTTATGGTGTGTGAATAAATAGTAAAAACGTTTCTCTCCTTTACATCCTATGATTGATATTTTGCTAATCTGGTTTCTGTTTTTCTGCTATTCATTTCAGATGTACCACAAATAACATATTTTAGAGGCAATTCTCTAAGAGATGAAAATGAAAACTATCTATTTCAATGCAGAATAGTAAGCCAGGTGCCAGCAGATGTTGTGATCTATTCACAGAATTATCTTGGCGTCAGAAAACTGTACGAAATAAACCAAACTAGAATAACACAACATAACATAACAATCAGTGTACGGTGTGAAGACTATAAATTATTTTGTAACGTTTCCAATGGATATGGTCCCACTATTTCGAAATATACCAGTTCGATGTAAGTATAGAAGTGGAAATAAACGATGAATGGTGTCCGGTGTGGGATTATGGAAACAGTAGAAATAGTAGAAATAGTAGAAGCAAATCGTGTCCGTATCGTGTCTGGACTCGTACGTCGTGTGTTCACTTCTATTTTCTACTTTTTTGATAATCCCGTACCGTACACCACACCGGATACCATACATCGTCTATTTGCCGCTTTAATGTAGGAATATATTTTTGAAAATCAGAGTTTATCAAAGATCTTTCAGAAAGACAAATCAGTAGATTTTGTTGCATAAAATGATGCCAATGCATGGTCTTGTCTGTGCAGAATAAAAATCACGAGATATGACATAATTTATTCATAGACGAATTAGTGTTAGGTGTTATAGAAAATAATCTCTTATAGAAACACTAGTCTAAGTCACAAGTATTAGGTTTTATAGAAGATACTCTCTTATAGAAACACTGGTCTAGGTCACAAGTATTAGATGTTATAGAAAATACTCTCTTATAGAAACACTAGTCTAGGTCACAAGATTTACTAAATGGTAACTAATTTCATGGATTGGGGGTAAATTAAATAGCTTATACACACCCATCTCAGTGCAATGTTGAGCATTTCGATGCTTATCTCTTAGATTAAGCAATAACTATTCAAAATATTGTTCAGATTATTTTGTTCATATTTATTATACCAACAATTTAGGAAATAAACCCACTATTTCAGGTCCAGTGAAGATTCTACATGACTTGACCAACACAACCTTGACATTCAGTGATACGTTTTGGTATACCAGGGTGGAACTGGATGTATATTTTGAAGGTTATCCAAGTCCATCCCCATCGTTACATCGTTTTACTACGGACAGTTTTCAAAAGGTTACTAAGGGTGTCGATCTTTACGTACGTTATTCACCAACTTTAGGTAAGCCACGATATGTCGAAGTTATTTTCAGGGGCCCAGGCGAATCGGATGCCGGAAAGTATGTCTTAACTTTAAAACAAAATGGAAATGAACCAGTTGTCGTAAAAGAAATTATAACTTTGGTATACATCGGAAAAATAACTACTACAGAATCTCCTCCGTCAACAGCAACAACCACCGGAAGATCCCCTCAGTCAACAACAACAACCGCTAGAAGATCCCCTCAGTCAAAAGCAACAACCACCAGCAGATCCCTTCAGTCAAAAGCAACGACCACAAGAAGACCCCATGAGTCAACAGCAACAACCACCAGAAGATCTCCTCAGTCAACAGCAACAACCACCGGAAGATCCCCTCAGTCAACAACAACAACCGCTAGAATATCCCCTCAGTCAAAAGCAACAACCACCAGCAGATCCCTTCAGTCAAAAGCAACGACCACAAGACCCCATGAGTCAACAGCAACAACCACCAGAAGATCTCCTCAGTCAAAAGCAACAACCACCAGCAGATCCCCTCAGTTAACAACAACAACCACCAGAAGATCCCCTCGGCCAACAGCAACCGCAACCTCAAGAACACCTAAAATGTCTTCAGGGGGAAAGTTTGAAAGTAAAACGAGGGAAGAGATTATTGTCATGGATTATCTCGGAGTAGCAGGGTTTGTGATTTCTCTGATGTTGGTTATTCTGGTTATAGTCGGTTTATTTTGGTTGATTCGAATGAAGAAGAAACCAGGAGGTTCGTTTTTTTTCATTTTCAACATTCTTATAAAACCTTGTTGTTTATTCTTTTAGGCAAGTTTTCTTTAATCTATTATTTCTACTTGGCTACAAGTTCCAAAAGGTCCAAAAGCCATTGGATAAGGTCTCCTGTCACGCTCGGAGCTGTTCACAGGTCTAGTTTGTATTGATATTAAACATGTTGATTAAGTCTCGGTTGTCCTGGTCAAAAAGTTTGTGTGGCTTGATAGATGTCTTGACTTTCAAATATACAAAATAATTATTATAATTTGTCTCTTACAGGTTCTGAAGACAAGGTAAACTTTTTTTAATCTGGGATGTCATCTTCAGTCTATATTATTAAATAAATATACTTGTTGCTTTACCTGACGGACTTGAGTTTTAGATAGAATCTTATTTCTATTTTATGTCCTTTTATTTTGTTATTTTCAGCTATATTCTACCACAATACAGACTCCAAGTTACAGTAAGATTAATTCTTCAATTTATAGTCAAGATTTTACTGTGTATTTATTTAAATGTTTCTTCTCGTTTATAGCTCACAAATATGCGCGTTATGGCCGAAGATACGGCACTTTTTTACCCATCGTTCCTGAGTCTCAGCTAGCTAATCAGTAATAGTGTTCACTGCAGGTCACCTTCGAAATTTGAGCCTTCTAATCCATGTGTGTCCAGAATTATCCGCGTTTGGAAGTTAAACAGACAACTCGTCAATGCCATGTATAGAAAAGATATCTATAGAAAAATGAAAAAGAAATTCCTAGTTTGAGATATTTTTACAGGAATTATTTCTAATACTATTAGATATTATGTTTAATCAAATCAACCTCCAAAATGGCGCACCTGTTCTTTTGATGAATCGTTATAATATCATACTGCTGTGTAGGTGTGTTTTATCATTCTTAACAACCTTTTCTTCTTATTTCAGTACCCAATCATATCTACGAAGATCTGAGCAAAAAATAATTTGAGACTTTAAAGCAACCCCTACCTATTAATAAGTCGAACTTTAAAAATTGCTGTAAGTTTTCAAGATAGCCTTCAAATCATATTTTTAGCCTTTTCCAAGCCTGTGTGATTTGAAGGCTTTGTTGAAATGTTATGGCTTTTTTTCAAAATGACTGTGAACTACGTTCGTGTGTTTTATTTCCATGTTTGAAATAATACAAAGAAAAAAGAATAATCATTTGAATGTAAATTGTTGAAACGTTGTACAATAAAACCCAGAAGTATACCATATAAACTGATGAAGACCCCACCCCCCCTCCACCCCCACCCTTGCCTGTAATATATATAATATGGGACGTATGCATTCAGACGAAACATTTTGACAACCTGTACAAAATATGATATTTTACTATTATTAGTTCACAGGTAAGTTCGAAAACCTTGTAACGTTTCCAATTTCTCAGAATCTCGGATTTATAACATTTTATCATAGTTCTTAAAAAATCTGTTTTTAATAACAACTCTGATTATTGATTTTTCCTGCTCTTGTGTTGATATAAAATGCAAACTTATAGCTATATAATTAGAAATTTTGGTATATAATATGAATTTCTTGGTATAAAATTTCAACTCTTCCTTTAAAAATCCCAGCCATATCACTAGCAGACCCTGGCGAGTGGACGACAGTTTATTATTTTTTTATTGAGGATACCGGAAGTAAGTTGTTCTTATTTCTTCAGGGATTCCAAATTTCCTCTTTTTAGAGGAGTTCCTCTATCTGGCAGGTGTTTCTTGTTCTTTCTGGAAAACAATTTTAATGGTGAGAATTGAAAGATAGATTTTATCTGCATGATTTATTATTATTTTAGATGTTACGTTTGGTAAAGTTTATGTCCATGTTGAGTCTGGTTTATGGTACGTATACAACTAACATCCACACAAAATTAAAGATGGATTTCCTTGTTTTTTAGAGTCAAATTAAGCAAACTATTTGATTAATTGGTGTTTCTAATGAATTATCATGTATTCTTAATCATATCATTATGTTCTTATTGCGTATGATTAAGAGTTTTTAAATGTCCATGTATGTACAGTCTGGATAAACAAAAAAAGAGACTTTTCACTCATTGGAATTCTGATGGTGATTCTCTTCTAATTTAACTAATTATGAATTAATTATGGACATGTGAGACAAACTGGTATTTTTCCAAGTCATTAGAACACCTCTACTCTCTATTCATATAAGTATTAGCATTTTCAATTTCATAAATGAAAATAAGGGAACCCATCTTGAATCTTCAGCTCTGAGTAGTATTTTGAGGTTTATGTTATTTTGCATACAATTATGATTGATAGAATGTGATTCCATGTATGTATAGGTCATTCAATTCAATGTTTTTAGTTTTTATCTTAGGATTTATTAATATTACAAGTCAGCCAGCCAAAGTAGTTAATGGGAATTTTGTAAAATTGATCTGTAATGTTGGAACTATGAAAGACACTGTTAAATGGGATTATGGTGGAGTAACATATTTTTCATGTCAACCCCCGTATATCAACTGTATCACCAACACCAGTATTACCAGCAATGGTTACTTCGACTTTTCTATCAATGGCGATTCAATTATTGTTATTTTACAAGTAAAAGAGAACCTAACTGATGGAATCTGGACTTGTTACCATGGAAACGAGAAAGATGATATAGAAATTGATAATGCAGGTAGATATGTTTGATAGATTGCCAGTCAAGGTAACATACGCCAACAAGCTCTGTCAAAGATTGTTAGCAAGTAAAATATTCCAGCGATTTAAACTGGACTTAATTGTTTTTCTATTTGTTTCTTGATCAATTTCAATTTCTCAACGATTCGTCTTTGAGTGATAATAAATATTTTCACTAAGTTTCATCAGAATTGAGTCTCAAGCTCCACACAATTCGATAAACAACAGCAAAAACTTCTGTTAAATATTTTTTGATGATTTTTCTTTGCGATATTAGAGATAATATACTAAGTTTCATCATAATCCGTCAAGAATTGTACCTTCTAGTTTGTTTGTTTTGCTTTTTTCATATTACAAATATTGCTTGATTGGTCGATGGCCCACCGTAACAGTTCTGCCATTGCTCTGCAATATATCAAATATTTATCAAAGGCGAGTCGTTTAGGACTACAAGTATTCGTACGATATGTATCAAGATTTTTATAGAAAGTATAATTGGTAAACCGATAGTCACAATAAAATATCAAATGTATGATTTTATACCAGAATTATCTCCTGAAGGGCTGTAAAGATAAGGACTATATTCAGGTCGCAATATTTCTATTTCTTAATAATTGTAAAATGCCGGAGGTAAAGAGTCTCGCCCAAGAAGACATAACGAAGTTCACTTTTGATTGCCGAGACAGATTCAGCTTTACAGATTGTCGAATGCTGTAATAATCGAACAAGTTCCAGAAGAAAAAGCCACTGACGTCTGGTGGTATACCTTGTGGAATATTCTCTCCATTTCAGATTACTTTATTTTAAAAATTTTATTCGGCAGTTTTAATTGAGCTCTAATCAATTCTAGTGAATTACTTATTTTTCTTATTTACAGACCCAGCAAGAATAACATCGTTTTATACTCGATCAACTAATAAACCCCAAGAGAATGAAATCAAATGCAATGTCCACAGTCAGGTGCCAGTCGATGTTTTGATATATTCTGAAGGTTATAAAGGAAAGAGGATAATTTACGATGTGAAACGATCTAATCTATCTGAACATTCTGTTCCATCCACAATGATCACCTTACTGTGCTCGGAGAGTAAAATTTATTGTAATGTTACAAATGGACATGGACCAACTAACTTAAAAACTTTACTTTATTACGGTAAATGTAAGTAATAATTTCAGAATTTTAGTTGGGAGGTTATTACGAATGGAAACACATCTCTATTAGATCAAAACAAATATTTCATGCAAGTTCAAATATGGAACACCAAACAATTTTCATCAAATTTTACTATTTCAGGTCCACTGAAGATTTTATATGACTTGTTACCCAACACAACCTTGAATATCGATGATTGGACTTCTATATTCAGGATATATTATGAAGGGTTTCCTTCTCCATCATTTTCATTATATAGAACTGGTGCAGACGACCTTCCAGAGATTAGCGAGGGTATAAATTTAAGTAGCCGACACCAAACCCTAAGAGAACCAGCCCATGTCTATTTTTATATTCATGATTACGATAAAGTGAAAGCAGGAGAGTATGTTTTGATTCTAAAACAAGACAATATCACAGAAGTTGTGCACCTTAACCTTTTTTACTCAAAAACAGCAACAACAGCAGCCTTGCGCGTTGAAACATCCACTATTGACACGGGAAAGACAACCAACCGAATCGAAAACACTTTCCCGCCAACCACAGCCGCTTTGTCTATCCCAACATCTAAGATGGATACGAGCAAGATTACCAATCATTCAGAAACCACTAACACACCAACCACAAGAGTTTTGCCCATAGGAACATCTAAGATGGACACAGGAAAGACAACAAACCGACCTGAAATCAATTTCGCGCAAACAACATCAACATCAACATCAACAGCAGCCTTGCCCATTCGATCATCTATGCTTGACGCGGGAAATACAACTAATCGAGCAGAAGACATTCACACGACGTCAACCATGGACGGTATGAAAAAGACCACCGACATGGAAATGGAGACCAAAATCATGGTATATCTGGGAGTAACTGGGTTTGTGATGCTTCTGATGTTTATTCTTATCCTGGTTATTGTCGGTGTATTTTGGTTCATTCGAAGAAAGAGGAAACCAGAA